GCAGTGTCACTGGCCCTCATATGTGGGATCCGAACCGGGGCCCTCTGGCGTCCCAAGCCAGTTCTTAACCATCACGCCACTCGGCCGGCCCTGGAGTCATGTCTTAACATAACAACCATTTGGTGTCTAACTGAAAAATACAAGCCTGGGCATGATTACACTGGAGCATGTTTGCAAAATTCAATCCCTAGTGTAGTTTCTTTGCAAGTCCATTGTGAATTAGCTGCATGTAATCTCAGGCCCCCAGTGGTGCATTACTAGGGGAATGAAACTGTGCTGGAATTGACAGGGTCAGGACCAGAGAGAGATCCAGTATAGCAGTAGCCTCTCAAGAAGAGGACAGGCCTCCAAAGATAATGAGTGGGGAACATGGGAAGCTTGGGTCCCACCCAGGATGGTATTCCTATTCAAATAGTCTAACTGGTGGATTGTGTCTCTGGATGGAGAGAATGTTCCTTGGCATGTGGATAATAACAGTGCCTTCTAAGAAGGGATGGAGTCTATGTGGATTGAAGCAGAAAAGCTTCAAGCTGGGGTAGAAGGGAGGTGGGCTCTACAGGGAGAAAGGGTTAAGCAGATGGTCATGGTGTTGAATTTGAACTGGGGGTCTGAGTTCATAGCAGCTCCAAGCCAAGGAGAAAAGTTCATGAAGCAGCATATGTAGAGTACACAAAAAAACTTAAAAACTGCAGCTCCTTGAGCAGCAACCACCAAGCTAAAGAACCTAATTCTAAATATCATGTATGATGAGTGTGGGACCCTGGATAAACTTCTCGGCTTGCTCGGATTGGCTTAGGGACTGGCTTTGGTTGGACTTTCCTGTTAAAAATTGTCAGTCCTTGCAGCTGGGCAGAGCTGGGGGCAGGATGGGAGTGGCATTTCCAGCAGTGTTGGCTTCATCCGAATGGGTCATTATAGTTTTTTAGTAAGAAGCTGCAAGAATTTGAGTTTCAAATTTTTTCTCCAATCTTAAAGCTACTAAGTTCCTGTTACATGTACATTTCTCTTTGCATTCAATTAAGCAACCCTGAGATTTAAAAAAAAAGTTTAAACAAGTCACCACAACATTTAATCCCCAGGTTTGGCTCTGCATTTACTTAGCATCAGGCAGCTAACAAAAAACAAAACAAAACAAAACCAAAAAACGAATATGAGGAGATGGGAGCAAGGAAGAGAGGAAACAAAATGAACTCTTTGAACTGAATCAGAGCAAATGAGTCAAAGCACAGGGGTAAGAAAGGTCCAGCAGAGAGGATGAACCATCGCTGTTCAGTGCTCTCTGAAGATGCCTAAAGAAAACCCGGCATCACAGAGGAGGCCAGTAGAGACTCAAATATGAGGCCATTAAACATCCCGGCTCTTCTGAGACATCAAGCAGCCAAGTTGCCCACGAACAGCACATGCGTCTGCAGACAGTGGGGCAGGAGAGCATGCTGAGAGTGAAGCAATCTACTCTTGCTGTTCTTAGGGTGGAGAGAAGAATTTTTGTATTATAGGTGAGGCCTTTTCCATTTCAGGCCTGATATATTCCTAAACACAAGGGTGGCTCATTGTGCATTTTAATTTATGGAGGTGGAATGCCCTGGAGCAGACATCTACCTGCGATTTTCTCAAGAGCCCTATTCCATGTGAGCTTCTGGAAGGAGGGTGGAAGAACATTTGCACAGAGCCTGGACTTCATAGCTGACATGACTGATCAGCATTCTTCTTGTTAACGTCTGTTTCTTAAATTCTCTTTTCTGTTGCTTCTCACCATCTCTTAATAAAACCCCGATATGCCAGGGGTTCGGAGTGAGGTAGGAGAAAGGGGGAGGTGGCTGTAGAGAAGATTTGCTCCCTTTGTCAGACTGCAAGTGGCCCTCGCAGCCCACTTGGGCAAACGCTGATCTTCACCGTAAATGATAGATAGGGCCCGTGGCTCATGCAAGACTTGGCCACTGAGTTATTAGGTGACAGGCCAAATAATAGCTCCTGTCTCTTTTTCAGGTTCCCTATTGGCTTAGCTTACACCAACCAGCTGCCTGACAGAATAAAAGTGGTATGAAGCTTTGTGAATAAAAATGTCAGTTATGAGAACCCATGTGGCAATTGTCTCAGGTAGGGTCTCCAGGAAACACAATCTGAGATGGGGATTGAATGCCGGTGATTTATTGGGGAGTACTGTCCATGGAGGAGTGAAGGAGGAAGGATTGGGTAGTACAAGAAGTTCAGCTACGATGCAGTGATTAAAAAAAAACAAAAAATCCTCAGCTAATCCCACAGTGAACTTTGGGGCTGGATGGCCTTGCAAGGTTGTCCCAAATTGGGGTGAGGGGGCCAGACCTTTATACTTCTGCACAGCCATTTAATGGTTATTGATTTAGGGTGTAGCCTGAATCCTGGAGGATGGCACCCCATCCTCACTGGGTATCCTTGCCCCCAGCTGGCCTCTCTTCCTCAGACCTTTCTGTTCTCAATCTTTTCATCTTCCTCTTTCCAGGCCCCTGACCAAACAGACAAGAATTCACCACTGTCTATGGGTCCACAGAGAGTCTAACCTCAGACCACTTTTGTTTCTACCTAAAGTGGGTAGGGAGATGAATCACCCAAAGCTCTGCCCAACTGTGAGAACTTTAAACTTGTACCTACTGTTGAGCTGATCTATCATGAACCAAACCTGACCTTTACTCTCCATTGTCAGATGGTCGTGTAGCTGAGGGAGAGGCACCAGTGTATCAGTGGATGAAACGGGGAGCTGGGCCATCTACTCATGCAGCGATGCCCTTTGGCCTTGTTTGTGTCCATTCCCAGATGCATGACTTCCATCTTATTAATGACAGAGATTGGAGCAGTTTACAGAGTCCTGGAAAAAAGATCATAAATGTATTTTCTCATCTACCCAACATGACTATGAACTCTTTCTTATTTACCTTTCTGATCAAAAGGAGAAAACACATATTCATATTAATAACCATAACCATGTACCAAGGTCATGTTAATTTGTTGCAGCAAAGATGCCACATGTGATACATCGGCAATTGGGGTGACTATTTAGTTGAGTTTGCAGCAATTCACTATCTCATTCTTCAAGACCTGTCTGGCTTTTGTAGGGGACATATTAGTTAATTAATGGGGATAGCATGAGGACCTCGCCCCACCCCCTGCTTCTTTTGGGTGTTTAAGGACAACACTAATGTTTGCTATTCTCCCTTGGTTGTGAAGTTGTTTTTCATTTGCTATCTTGGCTAGTGGGAAAGTGCATAGTTTTTGTTTGGCCTTCCTCACAATGATAGCTCTTACCCCACAGCTAAGGAGCTAATGTGGGTTTTCTGCTACCTACCAATGATTATATTTCTGTTCCAATTATACATTCCAGGTCTAAGGAAGAGACCACCCAGTGGGACTGTGCACCTAGTGGACACAATGAGAGCTGAATCTGACCAGGGCCTCCTTTATTACCTGGCCTTCACTCTAACAGAAAGCCTAGATGCCATCTCAGCTCCTCAGCCATAAAGATCAGCTCAGACCCAGTGTCCAACATGTCTGAAATGTTTGGGTGATTCCCTTTGGCCCAGTGTATGAACATCCAAGTTCTGGAGGCAGCATATTTGAGGACTTTCTGGCCTTACACAGTATATCTACTCCAGCATGCCTGCTTCTGAGTTTTATGGTCCTTCCTGCTTTCTGTCAACTTCCATGATAGTCTGGCATTTCCACTTCATCTAGTGTGAGCCATCAACTTCTCCAAGCACCAAAAACCATCCTAGCAGCATGTTAGGCTATTTCCTGGGGTCCTATGCAGGGTGTTATATCCTCTATTGCCGGCAAATCTTTGCATATCCAAAATCTCTCCTTTGCCCAACTTGATTTTCTGCCCCCGTTGATACATCGCTCTCAGGATCCAGTCCTATCAGTAATGCCTTGGCTCCTGCCAGTCCATGCTGCATAGGTCTTGCAGCTCTTTTAGAGTATAGCCATTTTCTCTTTTAGCACGTCCCCAGCCAGGTTATGCTGTGACTCAACCCTATCATTTGTCTATTGGTCAGGAGGGGAGCCGTGAGTGGATTTGGGGAAGGAGGAGTGTATTGCCATGCAAAGCAGAGACTTCTGCACCATCTTCAGGCAAGGGAGCAGCACTAGCCTTTAACAGGGAAGAAGTGGGCCACATCTAAGCCCAGAAGATTCAGAAGAACCTGGGAATTCATGTTCTCCCAGTTCATCAACCCGTGTGTACCTATCCCCTGTCTCAAGGTCCCACTCCTAGCTGTGGCACAGCAGACCTGTTGGAGCTGAGAACCCTGTCTCCTGCGGAGCTCTGCTACTTTCAAAATTAAGCCCTTGGCCTGTTCCTCAGCTTTTTGGCCCTCCAATTGCACATGAGTCTGTTTGTGTGGAGGTCCTCTGGCTTTCACATGTAGCCTTTAGTTTGTTATTTATCACTCTTAGTACCAACTGCTGCAGGTCTGGTTCCATTTCTCCAAGGAAAGCTTATTAGGGAGTGGAAGTGTTCTCAGGATCAACCTTTGAGTGGGGGAGTAAAGGAAGCAGAATTGGGCAGAGGGAGAAGATGAATGATGATGTGGTCCCAACAAAGGCTCAGGACTTGGGATGGCCCTGCATTGTGGTCCCAAATTGGAATGAGGGGGCCAGGCTTTTATGCCCCATCAAACAGTCATCCAGTAAGGGTTGGCCCTGGGTAGGAAGTATATGACCTTGAGCAAGGTGGCTGGCTCTCTTCAGCCTACAGCAAGTTCCAGGAAAGGTCTTAGCTGAGAGCTGTTGGCATCTGGCATAGAGGGTGGAGGGGGTAATGAGTGCCTGAGTCCACCAGGGAGATCTGGACAGAGAATCCTGACATCCATTGCACCAACCTACCTACTCATATATATGGGGTTTTAAAACCTTAACCATACAAAAGAAATTACTTTCAGATCCTCAGGTGAAACTTAATGGTGAAATATGACTTTGTAAGCCTCCATTTACACAGCATCTTAGGTTTACCAGGGGTCCCAAGTTTAAAAACAAACCAGGGTCTTTCTTTCTTTCTTTTTTTTTTTTTTTACATAGACAACCAAAGGGGGCCATTTGGCATTTGGAGTAAACAACTCCAACAATGGTTCTGCAAATGGTCCTAGAATTTTAACCCTCTTGTCTACACTCCCTTTCTGTGCTGCTTGGAGCTGAAGGCCACACTAACTCTCTAAGCAACTCAAAATGTTAACAGCTTCCTGGCAAGCATCCGTGTATTCTCTGGGCCATGCTGAGCCATGCCTTGGGGTCCCGAGCTGCCCAGAGCCACCCACTATTTTCACTGGGTCTACAGACAGCACATTGACTGCCCGTGGTGCAAAGAAGCAGTGAAACAAGCACAGCCCATTTCTTAGCAAGAAAAAGCCGTTGAATTCTGTGCACTGAAGACAAATTGGCCATAAACTCTGCAAGCCCACTTGCAGAGTTTCAGTTACTAAATGATTAAAGTCTCTAATCTCTGGAGCGGTGATAAAGAACAGCTGAGAAGGGGGCTGGGTATTCGATGCTGGGGAAGGTACAGCACATCTCTCTTGAGACTGTGCCAGACGAAGTCCACCCCTTAAAAGAACCACTGATAAGTAAGACATCATTAATAAATCAATGACAGGAAAATGAAAACGGAAGCAGATGAATCAGCTAGTGGATCAGGTTGTAGATGAAAAACATCACATCTGTTGCTACCTTCAGTGCATTAACAAATAAGTCTGCTTTCATACTTATACTTGGAATAATGAAGCTTCAAGAGCGATTAAGCGTAAATCAATGTTTAAATGTATCTTGTACCTCCCCAAACACCAGGAGGCATATCTTGCCTTGCTTTGAATTCTTTTTGGCAGTCAACGGGAGGTGCAGGGATTTTAAAAAAAAAAAAATGCTGCCTCATTTTGGCTCTGCTGTGAGGTTGGGGCACACAGCTAATTTAGTGTTAAGCCTCACGCTTTGATTCTTACCAACTGAAGGCACTGAGCTGTGCTTAATCGATACGTTAAATCCAAGCCAATGTCTTTCAGCTCCAGCAATAGCCACCAGTCTAGGACAGCTTGGCTCTAGCTCCCTTTCCTCCTCATGCAGATATTGATTTACATTTTATTTTGCTTTTATTGAAGACTGTAGCAAAATTAACAGTTGAGATGGTGAATCATTTTTTTTTCTTTTGAAGCATAATTTCTCCTTTATATACAATGAAAAAAAAATTGCTTCTCCCTCTCATGGCAAAGTGGCTGGTTTTAGGACATTAAGGATGGAGATCAGCAATTAATTTGGCGAATTGTACATGGATGTCCACGTGGTGAGAGATGTACTCTCAACAGGATAATCTCTGCTTTAGAGATGTTGGGACTAGAAGGTGAGGCAGAAGGAGATGGCTCAGGCTGGGAAAGGTGGAAAAGGCCAGAAAGGACATAAGGTAACACGATCAGGAAAGGAAATTAAATTTACATCCTAAATTGCTCTGAAAAGCAGGAAATTCTGCAAGCTGGCTAATACATGAGTTCTTAGTAAGACAAATGGGGAGCGCATAGGAAGAAAGGAAAGGTAAGAAATGAGATGAATAGAAACGATGGGCAGAAAACACAGGGACATTCTAAAAGTGATTATATTATTGATTTAACAACTTTGTGAATACACGAAATGCCATTGAATTGAATTGTACACTATAGATGGGTGACTTGTATGATATATTAATTATATTTCAGTAAAGCTGTTACTTAAATAAAAAATTTCCTCATAAGATGAAGGAGAAAAAAAGTGAGGATGGGAGGTATAGTCTCCAACTACCCTGCCATATTCTTAGCCCTGTCACTAAAAGGAAGAAGGCAGGATGAATTTTTGTGATCAATTATCAGACTTGGCCATCTATTCCGCCCCCACCATGCTGTACTCTCTGACTGCCTTCATGTGTCGAACATGGCTGAAGCCCCCCAGAACATCCTTTTGCAGGATTGGGGGACTATGTGAACCTGTTAGACGATGTGACCATTCCCCAGTGGACCTTGCTCCACTCTACTGCAACCCACTACTGAGTTCACTTACTTTTCTGAGATAGAATTCTTTTGATTCAAAGTGGAAAGGATAATGACCAAATCTAGTGTGTCATCTCCTTTAGCCTACACCCAACGTCCTGGCCAATGCAAGGTAGAGCCTGTCTGATTCTTGGGATTAATACTTCTTTGATAGAAAAATTACTCCAAGTTTCTGAGGGCTTCAGCTAGATGCTCTATGGATAACTGTCTGGCGTCAAACTCTCCATTTCTTGCCATTCCTCACCCCACATCTTCAGGTCAGGGGCCTTCACCATCACATTATCCCTAGGGCCTGAGGGCTCTCATTTCAGGAAGGCCTGAAATCCCTTCATTCCGGTGGTGGGTCCTTCTGTAATCCTTGCTACACTTGGAAAAGGAAATTTAGTAGGTGTCAGATATATGCTTGTCGATCTATTGATTCATCTACAACATAGAACTGATGAAACTTCTGTCTAAAAAGAGGTGGAATAGTGCTGAAGGCCTATACTACAAGGCAGTTTGCGGGTACCACCAGGGGCCTCAGCTTCCCCATTGGTTAAATAACGATGTTATTTTTTATGTGTTTGAGCATCTTCAGATAAATGCTAATATAGCAGAAAAACGGATTCAGGATCTGAATATCTGAAAGTGGCTGGAATTGACAAAAAAAACACCCATATCTTCCTTAGGCAACCCTCTTTACAACACGGGGGGGCTGTTCTCCAGCAAGCTCAGGGGAGGAGAAGGGGAACTAAGAGAGGGACTCAACAGACATCCTTTTCCTTACTTTCTCTCTCTTCTTAGTTGAGCAAAGTTGAAA